TTTTTTTGTGTTGAGTTTCCTTAACCTTTCTAAATTACCCATGTAACGAGCTTTCTATCAATAACTCTCAAACCAATTGGCTTTAGGGCATTAGGTGAAGAGACACCCCTAAGAATATAATTACTCAAGTAATAAAAGCCACGAAACATTCGACTTCTCTTTTTTCTTTTTCTTTTTTTCCAGCCATTTAACACATTCTTCTCTAAGCTCTCACTTGTCTTTTGACACGAATACTAACATTTGTGATGAAAGCATCTAGTTACTCAACAAGTCATAAACTCAAAGTACTTTGCATTCTTATTATTTAAGTTACCGTTTGATGTGAGAGTTGACATGAATCTCATGCATAACCCCCAGTTACTAAGCAATTAGAAACATTGGAGTAGAAATTAACATACTCTTTTGTGTGTTGGCTTCTTTATCTTTTTTAATTTTTTTAGGTGCTTTTTAGGCGCCACTAAGTTTTCTCTCTAAACTTCTCACTAAAAACTTATGCTCAAGTAAAATAGAATACTTATGAACTTAAATTTCATCATAATGGTGTTATTTTTTGGATTTTGTATCTCCTCTAAGATTCAAAGATTTTAGAAGTTTTTGAATTTTTAACTCAACAATATTCAATTCCTTGACACTAATTAGACCAACTCCTAAAAGAATACCGTAATTTCTAAAAAAAAAAATGTGTCATGCAAATATGAATGCAACTAATGTAAGAATGGATACTTAAAAGTTATTCTCTCTCCCAAACTTAAATCAAGCATTGTCCTCAATGTAAGATAAAAGTAAGAGAAAAGAGAAACTTCTTATGTTTTGCACTTGAAGACTTAAAATTTAAGTTCTGAAATTAAGTTGTATTCAATTAAAAGAGACTTCAAACATGTGAATTTCCAAACGTATTCAATGACCTAGTCAAAATCAAAGAAACAATTTATGCATAACTTAGGCCATAAAGAGAAATAATAATAATAATAATAATAAATCAAAACTATTAAAATAAAAGAAAAGAAAAGAAAAGAAACATTTATGCTTGAGTTGCCCCCCAAGAAGTGCTTAATTTATAGTCATTAGTTAGACTTTCTACTACTCCAAAGTGGCTTTGGATCAAGTCGTAAGACATGTCCTTTCGTTTTCTTAAACCTTGGCTTTTCTGCCCATAAGTTGAATTCACCATAAGATTTTCTCCAATGACTATTCTGTGGTGGTTTGGGTTTAAGCCAAGAGATGTGTCTTCTCAATTCTTCTAAGGTCACCCCCTTTGATTTCAAGTAAGATGAGGATGTGTTCAAGCAATTTATGTATTCTTTAAGCTGTTTAGTGTACAGTTTAGGCCGTAATTTACTAATTATAGATGTAATCTATCTACACAACTATGGTGCCAAGCGTGTAGTCATTTGGGAGACTTGGTACTGCAAATCCAACCTCTACATGGAGAAGTGCCAACTAACTTTTTCATATAGGTTCAGCTTCTAAATTTAACTTTACATCCAAGTCTGTTGGATGTTCTGAATTTTTGTAAGAGATACACTTTTTATGTGTAATTTTGTCGATTAAACTGATTCCTAGCTTTTGGCCAAAAAAACAGAAAAAAGGAAAACCCTGATTCTGAGCTCTTTGTTCGTTTATGGTTGTGTCCACAGAGAAAATGAATTTGCAGGAAGTAGTACTACCCAAGTCTTATGCTAATGGATTTGGCAGTAGAAGAGGAGGTGATAGAAATTTCAAGACTAGGCTGGAAAATAAGTTGCAGTCCGGAAAATCCAACGCTGGAAGAATACCAAATGCAGGTGAGATGTCTGCAACCTTTTTCTTTGTCATTTTCTTTACTACTCTACATCTGATATTTACTTGGTATTGGTGTACCAGCTGGTGGCAAGGTTGGATGTCCTTCCCATGATCGTTTAGTATATTTGGTGACATGTCTTATTGGTCATCCCGTGGAGGTCCATGTGAAAAATGGATCAATATTCACTGGAATATTTCATGCAACAGATGCAGAAAAAGATTTTGGTATTATATGTTTTATTTTGCTTCTTGATTGTGCTTATGCTTTGTATTTTTTTTTTTTCTTCTGAGTTTTTGGTTTTCATATAATTCTTTTCTAAAGAGCTATTAATATGTCTTAGTTGAATTTCCTTCTTTAACAATGGAACGCCTTGTCACTTTCAGGAATCATATTGATAATGGCTCTCTGGATAAAAGATGGTACTTTGTGAGGAGAGAATGCTATTGCAGAGTTTGTTAGCAAAGGCTCCATCAGAAACGTAAATTATACCTGCCAAAGAACTCGTGCAAGTTATAGCAAAGGTTTTGCTGAATTTCTGTTTTTGTTCTGGTTTGTTACTGAATGAAGTAAATTTTAATCTCTCCATTTATTCATGAGCTTAGTGTAGTGTATTTCAGCTGGTTAATAAGGAATCATTATACGAGAATAAAGAAGTGATGCAAGCTAGGAGGAGAGATAAAAGGAGAAGGGGAAAGAGAGGAAAATAGAGATATATGAGGAGGAGGAGGATTCTTAATACTTGTTTCTCTATTGTCTTAACTCATAAGATTCAAATAGAGCATAACATTTGCCTTATCAGACACAGTGGAGTGCTTGTCTAACCATTTCATTATGGACAATTATACATACACCCAAACAATCAACACCCATCTCAACACCCAAGGCTAAAATGAGGAGGGGTAAATTTGTAATTTTACTGTTCATAAGTCTTGGGTGTTGAGATGGGTGTTGATTGTTTGGGTGTATGTATAATTGTCCTTTCATTATATTTGAAATGGAAAACTACCAAAATAGTAAATAATTGAAGTAGTTTAATTAGCTGTAGATCCAAAAATTACTTCAAAATTACTAATTATGCAAGATAGTATGAATTATTTTCTCCAAGGCTTCTTTGCCATGACTGCATCAAGTCAGTTATTCAAATTAAATAATCTGTTAGTTAATCAGCAGTTCCAGGATGCTGCTGTTACTAAGGATGGCCTTGCAAGGGAGCTCCAACATGAAAAGCAGCAAGAAATTATGAGAGACTCTGCAATAGCATAATCTCATCATGTGAAGATGGAGAGAGTTGGAACCTTGGGTTTCTGATGAAGATGATCCACAGCATCCAGAACTAGAAAGTATATTTGATGGCCATTGGAATAGGTTGTTATTTATAATCCTTTAATATTTTCTAGCAAATCCTCTGTTTGTGATTTTATTGTTCCATTATCTGCTTTACTTTACAAGGCTTTCATCTTAACTGTTTAATGGAGAGCAACATTTTAATTTGGATATTAAATTGTGTCCTAGTTTTAAGTGTCTTTCCTTTTGCTTTCTTATTTATGGATCCAGAAAAAAGAAAAAAAAAAAAAAAGGGGGGGGATTTTCCATGAGGAGCAATTTAATGGGACATGACCGTTGACATTATTTTATGGTGACTTTTATTGAAAGTTTGATGTCCCTCTCGATGTTGTTTGGTTAATCAAAACTGGGGATATGAATTTAGTTTCGCCTACAGTGCTTATTTGAAGGAGTTCTTGGAGTATAATTATTTAATTCAACATATATATTGTTTTTGTTTAACTAAATGCAGTAACTGTTTTATTGAGGGTCGTTCCTGGGTGGTGAGCTGAAATTCCTACTCTTTCATGTTCAAGTATGTATTATGTAGTTTGCCATTGTTTCTTTTCTGACCAATCAAAACCGGTTGAGCTAAGTTTTGTGGTGGGGGGTTGGGGCTTGAATTAGGTGCTGCTGTTAGGCAGCAAGGTTTATGGTCTTAGAGTTAAACTTTGCTGGCAATCCCACGAGTTGCATTGCAAGTAATTTTTTGGGTGAATTTTAGTTTTTTCTTTCTCTAGTTTTGCTTAATGGGCCATTGAGTTTTTTCCCGAAGTTCTTGTTGTATGCATATTATATGGGTTTGAATCATGTCATTTTGCTGTTATGAACTGGAATCAGTTTGAGAGAAATGAGCTTCTTTTTGAGTAAAAAGTACCTTCAATGAAGAACTACCATTTACAACGAAGCTTGAAAAAGGTCCTCAGATGAGAGAGTTGGAAAAGGAAGCAATGAGAACGGCCAGAGAGATGGAGGGTGAAGATACCCAGGACCTGCATTTAGCAGAGGTAAGTTTTTGCTAACATCACCTTCAATCTCCATGAACTTTTCTTGGTTGGTTTTGTCCACCTAATTCTTAGCATTTGCTTATTTTATTTGTCACCAGGAAAGAGGCCGTCATCTTCACGATAATTTTGATATTGATGAAGAGACCAGATTCTCTTCAGCGTACAGGGTAGAGGGGTTGATGATAGTGCATGTGAAGAAGATGAGGAGATAGTGTTGGATTCACACAATATTGAAACTTTTGGAGGTTCATCTGCTTCTGTTAGTAACAGGCCTACAGATTTCACCAGTTTGAATGGCAGTGAAAGAGTTGTGCCAGCAAGCTCTTCCTTAACGGTAGTTATTAACCTTTGAAATTGAAGATTTAATATTTCCTTAGCATGTTAAATGCATATGGTTCTTGTTATTGGTCATTAATATGGTTGCAAATCCTTTGTCAATCTGCCAACCATCTATACATGATGTACATTTGCTTTTGTAGTAGATAATACGACCATTAGGGTTACTCTTATAGTCTTACTATTACTATCTTATTCATCATTTTTATTTTTGTTATTTAACCTACTATTAAATGTTAATGTGAGGGGAAAAGATCTTATGTAGTTTTACATGGTGGCATTGAATTTGGAGGCTTGCAGATGTTATGGTTGACATATTCTGCCTGCATTTAGCCTTAACTGAAAGTAAGAAACAATTGTCAGAAATATTGGTCTGTCTAGTGATAAGAG